GGGAGGTGGAAGAGCAGGAAGTGGCGTGCAGTTGGCTCCGGGCATCCAAAATGTGCGCCAGGAGCGGCAGGAGTGGCATTCGGCGATGGCGTTCGGGGCAGTCGAAGAGCACGAAGTGGCCTACAGTTGGCTCCGGGCATTCAGACTGTGGCCCGGGAATGGTGTTCTGGGAAATCGAAGAGCACGAAGTGGCCTACAGTTGGCTCTGGGCATTCAGAATGTGGCCCGGGAGTGGCGTTCTGGGAAGTCGAAGAGCACGAAGTGGCCTACAGTTGGCTCCGGGCATTCAAAATGTGGCCCGGGAATGGTGTTTTGGGAACTCGAAGAGCACGAAGTGTGTGACTGCTGCGTCCGGTTATCCAAAATGTGGCCCAGGAATGGAGTTCTGGGAGGTCGAAGACCACGAAGTGTGTGACCGTTGGCGAAAAACGAGCCCGGTTCGTCCGCCCGGCGTCCGCCCGGCAGCTCGCCGACATCCGCCCAGACCCCCTTGTGGAGTAAGCTGCTGCCCTCTTTTGATCCTACTAGAAACCTATCAGTCTACGCTGTTAGGCAAAAGCGCCCCAAGACAGCCCAAGGACGGCCCAGGAGGCGCCCAAGACGGCCCAAGCGGCACCCAAGACGGCCCCAAGAGCGGCCCCGGACGGCCCACGACAGCGCAAGAGGCGCCCACGCGGGCCTCAGACGGTCCCGAGATGGCCCAAGAGGCACCCAAGACGGCCCAAGAGAAGCTTACGAGCCCGTGGGCGGCCCAAATGAAGTCCCACAAGGCTCCGAAACAGCTCCCACTGACCCTAAGTGGCTTCAGCTTTGCCTCCAGGAGGGGGGAGCGGACGAGAGGCGACAGGCACCTCGCAGGCACAACAGAGCCGTTTTCACAGGGCCCCAGACGACCCCCTAAACCGCACAAGAGGCTCCAAGACAGCCAAAGAGGGCCCCAAGAGTCCCCCAGGAGGCCAACAATGATCCCCGAGAGGCCCCCAGACAGTTTCCAAGAGGCCCGAATTTGATGACCGCCGAACGCCGAAACGGTCCTCCCAGCAGGGGGCCTTCAACGACAACTCCAGATACATTGGGTTTCCACATTTCCAGGGACGCACGGGGAAACCTTTCAAAAAGCGACAATGCAAAGCCTGTTCTAATGGATTTCGGTCCGTGGGGTCGTCGTCGTCTTCGTCGTCGCCGTCGTCGTCACTGGGCCAGCAGCCGCGCGTGCAACCCACCGGAGCCGTCACGGGACGAAAACGTCACCATGCCATGCCAAGTGGCCCCCAAAGGGATCTGCAAGCACTTTTTACCTAACAGCGAAGACTGATAGGTTTCTAGTGGTCTCAAAAGAGCTCACAGATCACTCCACAGGGGGGTCCGGGCAGGTGTTGGGGCGTTTCCGGGCGGCATGAGCCGGGCTCGTTTTTCACCAACAGTCACACACTTCGTGCTCTTCGCCTTCCCAGAACTCCATTCCCAGGCCACATTCTGGGGGGCCGGATGCAACAGTCACACACAAAGTGCTCTTCGACATCCCAGAACGCCATTCCCGGGCCACATTCTGGGGGGCCGGATGCAACAGTCACACACTTCGTGCTCTTCGAGTTCCCAGAACGCCATTCCCGGGCCACATTTTGGATGCCCGGAGCCAACTGTAGGCCACTTCGTGCTCTTCGATTTCCCAGAACTCCATTCCCGGGCCACATTTTGAATGCCCGGAGCCAACTGTAGGCCACTTCGTGCTCTTCGAGTTCCCAGAACTCCATTCCCGGGCCACATTTTGAATGCCCGGAGCCAACTGTAGGCCACTTCGTGCTCTTCGATTTCCCAGAACTCCATTCCCGGGCCACATTTTGAATGCCCGGAGCCAACCGTAGGCCACTTCGTGCTCTTCGAGTTCCCAGAACTCCATTCCCGGGCCACATTTTGAATGCCCGAGCCAACTGTAGGCCAACTTCGTGCTCTTCGACTTCCCAGAACTCCCATTCCTGGGCCACATTTTCAGCAGGGGCAAAGCACGACGAGGAGGAGGACGAGCAAGACCAGGAGGACGAGGACGAGCAGGAGCAGGACGAGGAGCAGGAGGAGCAGGAGAAGAAGGACGAGCAGGAGAGGAGGAGGAGGACGAGTAGGAGGAGGAGGACGACCAGAGGAAGGAGGACGACCAGGAAGAGGAGGAGAGAGAGGAGGGGAGGGGGATGAGTACCATAGAGGAGGAGGAAGGAGGATGAGGAGGAGGAGAGAAATGAGAGGAGGAGGATGAGGAGGAGGAGACGAAGACAGAAAGGAGGTGGGCTCACGGGGGGGAGAGTACCAGGAGGAGGAGAACGAGGACCACCAGGAGGAGGAGGAGGAGGAGGAGGAGGAGGAGGAGGAGGAGAGAACACCAGGAGGAGGAGGACGAGCAAGACGAGGAGGACGAGAACGAGGACGACCAGGAAGAGGAGGAGGAGGAGGAGGAGGGGAGGGGGAGGACTACCAGGAGGAGGAGGAGGAGGAAGAGGAGGAGGAGGACGAGGAGGAGGAGGAGGAGGAGGACGAGGAGGAGGAGGGGGGGGGAGAGCACCAGGAGGAGGAGAACGAGGACCACCAGGAGGAGGAGGGGGAGGAGGAGGAGGAGGAGGAGGAGGAGGAGGAGGAGAGAGCACCAGGAGGAGGAGGACGAGCAAGACGAGGAGGACGAGAACGAGGACGACCAGGAGGAAGAGGAGGAGGAGGAGGAGGAGGAGGAGCAGGAGAAAGAGGAGGAGGAGGAGGAGGCAGGATGAAGCTGAGGCTGTGACTGCGACTGCCGTTGCCGCTGCGACTGTCATCGCGAATGCGACTACGACTGCGAGAACAGCAGAATTCGACAACTGGATTTTCATCTGAATCTTAAGGGGAATGCTTTCAGATATGCTTCTACACATCGCTGTTAGGTTGCTTTGCCGGGATAATTCTTAGAAAAATGCTCCGCAGGGCCCATTGGCGCCCAGAGCGAGCCTACAGTATGCGATAGTGGCCTTCGGAGGCCCTCTTAGAGCCACCTTGGACCGTCTTGGCCATTCGCGCCGCTCGGACCGCCGACATCTTGGGCCGCGTTGGCCGTTCTCACCGCTCTGAACGCCATCTTGGGCCATCTTGGCCATTCGCACCGCTCGGGGCCCCGACGCATCCACGCTCTCCTCCAGGCATCTTGCCATCACCTCGGAGCCTTCGCCTTCCAGAGCCTCGCGGGCTCAAACGGCCCAGCTGTCAGCCGCGCGTGCAACCCACCGGAGCCGTCACGACACGAAAACGTCACCATGCCATGTCAAGTGGCCCCCAAAGGGATCTGCAAGCACTTTTTCTTAGAAAAAATGTCCGCAGGGCCCTTTGGCGCCCAGAGCGAGCCTACAGTATGCGATAGTGGCCCTCGGAGGCCCTCTTAGAGCCATCTTGGACCGTCTTGGCCATTCGCGCCGGGACAGACATTTGGGCCGCCGTTCTCACCGCTCTGAACGCCATCTTGAGCCATCTTGGCCATTCGCACCGCTCGGGCGCCCCGACGAATCCACGCTCTCCTCCAGGCATCTTGCCATCACCTCGGAGCCTTCGCCTTCCAGAGCCTCGCGGGCTCAAACGGCCCAGCTGTCAGCCGCGCGTGCAACCCACCGGAGCCGTCACGACACGAAAACGTCACCATGCCATGTCAAGTGGCCTCCAAAGGGATCTGCAAGCACTTTTTCTCAGAAAAATGCTCCGCAGGGCCCTTTGGCGCCCAGAGCGAGCCTACAGTGTGTGATAGTGGCCCTCGGAGGCCCTCTTAGAGCCACCTTGGACCGTCTTGGCCATTCGCGCCGCTCGGACCGCCGACATCTTGGGCCGCGCTGGCCGTTCTCACCGCTCTGAACGCCATCTTGAGCCATCTTGGCCATTCGCACCGCTCGGGAGCCCCGACGAATCTACGCTCTCCTCCAGGCATCTTGCCATCACCTCGGAGCCTTCGCCTTCCAGAGCCTCGCGGGCTCAAACGGCCCAGCTGTCAGCCGCGCGTGCAACCCACCGGAGCCGTCACGACACGAAAACGTCACCATGCCATGTCAAGTGGTTCCCAAAGGGATCTGCAAGCACTTCTTCTTAGAAAATGCTCCGCAGGGCCCTTTAGCGCCCAGAGCGAGCCTACAGTATGCGATAGTGGCCCTCGGAGGCCCTCTTAGAGCCATCTTGGACGGTCTTGGCCATTCGCGCCGCTCGGACCACCGACATCTTGGGCAGCATTCGCCGTTCTCACCGCTCTGAACGCCATCTTGAGCCATCTTGGCCATTCGCACCGCTCGGGCGCCCCGTCGAATCCACGCTCTCCTCCAGGCATCTTGTCATCACCTAGCCTCGCGGGCTCAAACGGTCCAGCTGTCAGCCGCGCATGCCACCCACCGAAGCCGTCACGACACGAAAACGTCACATGGCCATGTCAGGTGGCCCCCAAAAGGGTCTGCAAGCACTTTTTCTTAGAAAAATGCTCCGCAGGGCCCTTTGGCGCCCAGAGCGAGCCTACAGTAAGCGATAGTGGCCGTCGGAGGCCTTTTGAGAGCCATCTTGGACCGTCTTGGCCATTCGCGCCGCTCGGACCCCCGACATCTTGGGCAGCATTCGCCGTTCTCACCGCTCTGAATGCCATCTTGAGCCATCTTGGCCATTCGCACCGCTCGGGCGCCCCGTCGAATCCACGCTCTCCTCCAGGCATCTTGCCATCACCTCGGAGCCTTCGCCTTCCAGAACCTCGCGGGCTCAAACGGTCCAGCTGTCATAAGTGGCCACGTCCGGTGCCCCCCCCCAGGAGCCCCCTCCGTTGTGTCAGACCTTTTGGCCCAATGTTCCGGCCTTCCGAACCTGGGTCGCTGCGCGCACACCTGGTCGGACGCGATGAGACGCCCAGCAGCTGTTGGGCGCACTGCGCGCCAGGCAGCGAGAAGAACGTTTTCGCAGATCGTAGCTCCCCCAAGAATGTTCCCGGCCAGATGTCGTGGACGGAGTCCACGGGTCAGCCCTAGTCAGCTACAGCGCTGGGATCAGCGCGTGCGAGAAGGGCGAGCAGTGGCAGTGCGCGCTTGAGCTGCTGGGCGAGATGTGTGAGGCGAAGCTGGAACCCAACGTTATCCGTAAGGGCTTCGCCCCCTGCCGCCGGCCCCCTCTCTTTCATCATAGGACAGATTCGCGTCGGTGCGTCTCGGCGCTGCCGTGGCGCTTGTGGGAACAGCATGCGGGGGCGGATAGGAATCATCAGCGCATATTGAACCGTTGGCGTTATCGAAGACGCCCACGGCGAATCACCGCCGCCCCCTGCCCCTTTGGAAGCGCCTATGTGGCCGACAGCTGGTCTAGAGTTTGGCCACGCTATCGGGCCAGTTGTTTCCCGAGTCGGTTTGGAAAGCCTTTGGGGAACGCGTGGGGGAGCAATAGGAGGAGGATCATGAGAGGGATGATGATGATGATGATGATGATGATGATGATGATGATGATGATGATGATGATGATGATGATGATGATGATGATGATGATGATGATGATTAGGAGGATGATTAGGAGGATGATTAGGAGGATGATGAGGATGAGGATGAGGATGAGGATGATGGGGAAGGAGGAGGAGGAGGAGTAGGAGAAGGAGGCTTCTTGGGAACCGTCTTGCGAGGCCTCTTGGGAGGCCTCTGCGGAGCTTCCTGGGAGCCTTTTGGAGGCCTCTTGGGAGCCTCCCTGGGCCTCTTGGGGGCTTCTTGAGGGCCTTTGGGGGCCTCTTGGGGACCTCTTGGGCCGTCTTGGGCTGTCGGAAGGCCGAAAAGAAGCAATGCCAAAATTCTTCAAAAACCTTAGGAAAGCCAATGATTTGGGCCTCTGCGGGCCCTCGTGGAGGACCTCTTGGAGGCCTCTTGGGCCGTCTTGGAGGCATCTTGGGCCCTCTTGGACCGTCTTGGAAGCCATCTTGGACCATCTTAGGCGGACTTGGAAGCCATCTTGTGCCATCACGCCCGTCTTGGAGGCATCTTGGAGTCCATTTGTGACCATCTTGGGCATGAAAGACATTGACATGTGCAGTTTGGGGTCTCTTCGGGTGAAGGTCATCTTGGCAGCCTGGAGGCCATTTTGACTCTTTCGGGCCTTCTTGGAGGACGTCTTGGAGGGCTCTTGGGCCGTCTTGGGGGCCATCTTGAGCGTCTTGGAGACCTCTTGGGCCGTCTTGGGGGCCTCTTGGGGCCGTCTTGGGCCTCTTGGGCGATTTTTGGGGGCACTTGGGCCGTCTCGGGCCGTTGGAAGGCAGAAAAAGAGCAAATGCCACAATCCTTCAAAAACTGATGGGAAATCAATGACTTTGGCCTTTTCGGGCCTTCCTGGAGGCCCCCTTGGAGGCCTCTTGGGTCGTCGTGGGCCATCTTAGTGCCATCTTCGGCCGTCTTGGTGGGCCCCTGGCTTGTCCGACGCCGTCGGCAGCCGTTTGGGGGGCCTCTCTGATTCGACTTGGGGCCCTCTTGGAGTGCTCCAGGGCCGTCTTGGAGGCCATCTTGGGCGTCTTAAAAGCCTCCTGGGCCGTCTTGGGGGTCTGTTGGGGCCATCTTGGGGGCCTCTTGGGCCGTTCTGGGGCCATCTTGGAGGCCTCTTGGGCAACCTTTGGGGGCTCTTGGGCCATATCGGGCCGTCAGAAGGCCGAAACGAAGCAAATGGCAAAATTCTTCAAAAACCGCAGGAAAACAATGTTTTTTGCCTTTTCTGGCCTTCCTGGAGGCCCTCTTGGAGGCCTCTTGGGCCGTCTTGGGCCAGCTTCTTGGGCCGTCTTGGGCCAGCTTCGAGCCAACTTCGGCCATCTTGGTGGGCCCCTGGCCCGTCTGACGCCGTCGCCGTTTTGGGGGCCTTTCTGGGCCGACTTGGGGCCCTCTTGGGGCCCTCCAGGGCCGTCTTAGAGGCCATCTTGGGCGTCTTGGAGGCCTCTTGGGTCGTCTTTGTGGCCTCTTGGGGCCGTCTTGGGGGCCTCTTGGGCAGTCCTGAGGCCATCTTGGAGGCCTCTTGGGCGCTGTGGGGGCGATATTTGGGGGCCTCTTGGGCCGTCTTGGGTCGTCGGAATCCCGAAAAGACGCAATTGCCAAAATCCTTCAAAAACCAAAGGAACTCAATGATTCTGGCCTCTTCGGGCCCTCCTGGAGGAGCTCTTGGAGCGTCTGGGAGGCCTCTTGGAGGCCTCTTGGGGGCCTCTTGGGCCATCTGGAGGCCATCTTAGGCCGTCTGGGCCGTCTTGGAGGCATCTCGGGCCCATCTTGGCCGTCTTGGAAGTCCTCTTGGGCCATCCTGGGCCATCTCGGGGCCGGGACCCCCAGGGGCGGCCCCCGCGCGGAGCCTCCCGAGGTCGCCCCTTGCCGCCCCAGCACGCGTGGCGCCCCGCACGTCACCCCCACGGGAAGCCCCCAGGTGCCCAACGTAGCCCCCAACTCTGGCCCCCACGCGTCCACCCCCCTGCATCGAACTCCTCGCGCACAGGGGCACCGCAAGACCGTCCGGGCCCCCCATTCCTCTGGCTGCGTCATCAGACCCAGGTGTGTCTGATGATGGCGCCCGGGCCTCGCGCGAATAGCAGGAACACCTTACTTTTGACGTTTCCAGCTCACTGCCCCCAGGGTTCCTCGCTCCGCAGGCGTTGGCGACACATGCGCGTTCGGGACCGCACCTTCACCTACTAGCCGTGGATCTTCCACGGGTTCACACGAGTCAGCTACAACGCTGGGATCAGCGCGTGCGAGAAGGGCGAGCAGTGGCTGCGGGCTTTGGCGCTGCTCAGCGAGATGCGGAAGGCGAAGGTGGAGTCCACCGTCATCAGTTACAGCGCTGGGATCAGCGCCTGCGAGAAGTGCTGGCAGTGGCAGCGGGCTTTGGCACTGCTCAGCGAAATGTGGGAGGTGCACATGGAGCCCAATATCATCAGCTGCAGCGCTGGGGTCCTGGCTTGCGAAAGAGCCGGGAAAGGGCAACAAGCGATTTGGTTGCTCACCGAGACGCGGGATGCGAAGTTTGAGTCCAACGTCATGAGCTTCAGTGATGCAATCGTTATGGCAATGCGCATGTAAACATTATTGACGTTTCGCGTATCCCAACAGTACTTAGTGCCTAATTTAGAGCTTGGCGCGGCTGCCTCGTTTCTGGACGGCGCGCGGTTGGACCGCGACGCTCGCGAACAAACATATCCCCACCAGCCCATCCAGAAACGATGCCCATGAGAGTTGACGGGGGGAGAGAGGAAGAGACACGCATAGTCAAACAGCGAGGGAGGCTTGGGAGGTTCCGTGGCCATCTCGAGCCGTCTTGGAGCGGTCTTGGGACCGATTGTAGCATTTTGGGAGCCATCTTGAGTCAGCTTGGGTTATCTGAGCCATCTTGGAGGTCATCTTGGGCTCTTTGAGGCCGCTCGGGGGCCTCTTGGGGGCCTTTCGGGTGCCTCTTGGAGTCCTCTTGGGGCTTCTTGGGGCGCTCTTTGGGCCCTCTTGGGGGCTCTGGAGAGCCTCTTGGGGCCATCTTGGAGGCGATCGGTGAACAGATGGGTGCTAGATTTGCGTCCCCCCATCGGGGGCCACGATCCTCGTGAGTGGTGGCAAAAATGGCCCTCTACCAGAAGCAGAATTACGGCACCGAGGAACCCCACATACTTACATTATGGCTGGAATGATGATAGCTGAAGTGAAGCACGTGAGAATGATGTTGGTGGCCGTTGCCCCGCAGATACCGTCGGTGACGCCAGTCAAGAGAAGAGGAGAGGAGGAGAGTGGAGAGGAGATAAGATAAGTTGTTGCTCAATACACATGGAAAGCGGGTCAGCGCCCACGATGCCGGCCTCCTGCACTCGCCGAACTTTAGGGAGCAGCGGGCCATCGTCCGCCCCCTCCTCCCCTGCCAAGTCGCAAGAAGCGTCTCATAGAAATCCGCCCCAAGAAGGGTTCACCAAGTACCTCACCAAACCCTGCCTCCTGGCATCGTCGGCGCCGAGGGGTGCAGGCCTGCATGGGCGGAGCCTTCGTTGGTGCGGCCTTCGCGGGCGTGGTCTTCATAGGAGTGGCATGTTGTCCTGAGGAAGGTGCCGGGTCAGCGCCCGCGATGCCAGCCTCCTGCACTCGCCGAACCTTCGCTGGCGGCGGGCCGCCGTCCGCCCCCGGCCCCCCGAGCAAACCGGACGAAACGTCTCTCGGGAGTCCGCCCGAAGAAGGGCTCTGCAAATACTTCACCAAACACTGCCTCCTGGCATCGTCGGCGCCTCGTTGACGTGGCAACTCATGGTGCCTGGTGAGAAGCGTCTCGGGCCACCCGTTCAGAAGCTGTCGCTGGTAAGCATTAAATGTGTGGCGTACCAAGCCGTTCGCATGCTTGTCAACATGCTCGCGTACGGTAGGTTTGCGTCGTGTCGACCAGCGGCGACCCCAGCGCGGGCGCTCAAGGTTGAACACCGCCGGCGACCCAGAATCGATCGATGTTGAACGATCGGACGTTGCGGCAGCGGCCGATCGTTCAAGGTTGAACGATCCCTGCGGTGTCAAAAACCAGCGCCGGGGTCGACACGACACGAACCTGCCGTAACTAAACTCACTTCGGCGCACCTCTCTAGCATTGAGTTCTTGAGCTGCTCGCACGGGGGCGGCAGCGCGGACATGGCACATTTGGGCGCCATGACGGGCGCCGCACCTTGAACGGACAATCGCCGGCGCGAGCACGCCTGCGTGCAAACCCGAACTGTCTGAGCTGGCATGAGCCAAAGTGGGCAAACCCCCTGTGGTGTCGAGAAATCGCCACGCCTGCTGTGCCTTGGACGACCGTCACAGATAGCGGCCGCGGTCAGGGACCACCCCGTGCGCACCGCCTGTGGTGTCGAGAAATCGCCACGCCTCTGTGACGTGGACGAGCGTCACGGATAGCGGCCGCCCTCAGGGACCACCCCGTGCGCACCCCTTTATGGTGTCGAGAAAACGCCACGCCTGCTTTGCCCTAGACGACCGTCACGGATAGCGGCCGCGCTCAGGGACCACCCCCATGCGCGCCCCCGGTGGTGTCGAGAAAACGCCACGCCTGCTAGGACGACTGTCAGGGATAGCGGCCGCGCTCAGGGACCACCCCCATGCGCGCCCCCTGTGGTGTCGAGAATATGCCACGTTTGCTAGGACAAGGACGACTGTCACGGATAGCGGTCGCCTTCAGGGACCACCCCGCGCGCACCCCTTATGGTGTCGAGAAAACGCCACGCTTGCTATGCCCTGGACGACCGTCACGCATAGCGGCCGCCGTCAGGGACCCCCCCTGCGCACTTCCTGTTAGCGCGCATGTGTTGCGTGGTGTACGTGTCATGTGTTTGCGTGTTTGTGTGTGTGTGTGTTGTGCTGTACAGTGCTGTGCTGTGCTGTGCTGAGCTGTGCTGTGCTGAGCTGAGCTGCTCTGTACTGTGCCGTGCTGTGCTGTGCTGGTCTGTGCTGTGCTGTGCTGTGCTGTGCTGTGCTGAGTCGTGCTGTGCTGGGGTGCAGTGCTGAGCTGTGCTGAGCTGAGCTGAGCTGAGCAGTGCTGTGCTGTGCTGTGCTGTGATGTGCTGTGTACGTACTGTGTGTGTGTCAATGTGCTGCGTGCTGAGCTGAGCTGAGCTGTGCTGGGCTGCGCTGCGCTGCGCTGTGCTGTGTGAGAAGGAGAAAGAGGAGGAGGGGTGAGGAAGAGACGCGGGTGCGACGCGGGAAGGAAGGAAACCAGAACCCCATCAAGCATGTGGGGAAAAAAGGAGCCTCTGACACATCGCGACCCCTCCCAGAAAACCTCAGGGAGGGGAGGGGGAGGGCTCCCCTCCCCGAAGGAAAAAGGAGTTGTGGAAGAGGAGAGAGACCCTCCTTAGAACACCTGTCGCCCAAAGACCTGGTGGGATTGAGCAGGCAGGTCCACGCGCGTGCGAGGTACAATCCTGGGACCAAGGCGTGCGAGAAAGGCAAGTCTCCGCAGCAGGTTTTGCCGCTGTTCTAGGTGATGGGGGAGATCGAAAACGGAGGCCACTGTCATCAGCCAAGACGCTGGGACCAGCGGGTCCGAGAATAGTAGGTGGCGATCGCAGGCTCCGTCGCTGTTCAGCGAGGTGGGGGTGCGAAGTCAGAGCCGACAGCACGGGCAACACCCTTAAAGCTGGAGCGCGCGAGAGGGTTGACTGGTTTCAGCAGCGACTGGTCGTTCTCGGGTCGGCGTGCTTGAGAACATTCGACCTGCCCCCCGCCGATGGTCATGGACGTGGGGCCTGGATGCGCGAGCAGGGCGGGCACTGGAAGCAGGTGATGCCGCTGTCCGACGAGGTGCGAGGGCGAACTGCGGCGAGACGATGCGGTCAGCGCGTGCGCAGAATGATACAGTGGAAACCCATGCCAAGAATCACCCTGCTTGCTTCCCAGGGTGCCCTGGGTTTCTTGGGTTTCGATGATTTCGCTATGGAAAGCGTGGCGTTCCCACATCAAAAAATAATGGACGTCCTGGGGTCTCATGGTCGGGTTTCTTGTGGAAGGTTTCTTGTGGTCGAGCTCCTACTGTAGAGGATTACTTTGGCTTCTGGCTTCGGATAGTTTCAAGCGGCCGGGCCGGCCCTCAGGAGCCCCTGAGGGGTTCGAGACGCCCCCGAGGTGGCCTTGGCTGCCTCCGAGATGGCTCCAAGACTGCTCCAAGACTCCGCCAAACCGCCGCCAGATACCGCCGATGCCCTTCCAGACGGTCCCAGTGAGGGCCCCCAGGAATCCCAAGATGGGCTTAAGGAGAGCTCGACACGGCCCCGGAAGGCTTCACGAGGGCTCTGAGATGGCCTTCGTGTGTCACCGAGGCTGTCCGCTCGTTCTTCCACCCCGGGCTGCCTAAATGCTTGACATCGCGCGGCAGCGACCGCCATCGGGCGGGAGCACGCAACAGCAGCACGTACCATCCGTAAGCGGACGAAGTTTGCGGCAGCAACCTGCAAGGCCACCAGGCTGGCAACCTCGCAAGCAGAATTGCAGGCAAGCTGTCAAGCAGACAACCGACCCGGACCGCTGCATGCGGCGAACCATTCGTCATGTCCTTTGAGGGGGCTCCGACCAGATCAGGCCGCTTGCCGTGGAAAAGATGTGCGGGCCCACTCTATATAGTAGAAGCGATGACTAAGTCATCTCTTCTACAATGCAGCGACCTCTGCGTGCGAGGATGCTCTTCACCACCACCCACCAAACCACCCCAACCCAACCCGAAGGCTCAGATCTACCCTCGATTTCTAGTGGGGGGGGTCGGGAAACATAGAAAAAAACACGCGTGGAACCCTTACCCCCCCCAACCCGAAATTCGGGTCTTCGGGTTGGGTTGGGGTGGTCTGGTAGGTAGTCAGCTCTCTGCCTCGAACGTCGGCCCCGACCCCCAAAGCGGCGCAGGGGGGGCCCAAGTGCTCCGCTAACGGCCGCAGGCGGCCCCGGGACGGCCCCGAGAGGCTCGAGCGGGCGCCGAGGGCCTCAGAGCACCCCCCCGGGAGCCCCAGGACAGCCCCCGGAGGCCCCCGATCAGGAGGGAAAGAAACACACAGACACAATTAATCGTCGACTCCCCAGAAAATATAGGACAATATGGGAACTGGGGGGGAGAACAAAAACAGAGGAAATATGGGAAAATTATCCCGGCAAAGCAACCTAACAGCGATGTGTAGAAGCATATCTGAAAGCATTCCCCTTAAGATTCAGATGAAAATCCAGTTGTCGAATTCTGCTGTTCTCGCAGTCGTAGTCGCATTCGCGATGACAGTCGCAGCGGCAACGGCAGTCGCAGTCACAGCCTCAGCCTCAGCCTGCCTCCTCCTCCTCTCTTCTCCTGCTCCCTCCTCCTCCTCCTCCTCCTCTTCCTCCTGCTCGTCCTCGTTCTCGTCCTCCTCGTCTTGCTCGTCCTCCTCCTCCTGGTGCTCTCTCCTCCTCCTCCTCCTCTCCCTCCTCCTCCTCCTCCTCCTCCTGGTGGTCCTCGTTCTCCTCCTCCTGGTGCTCTCCCCCCCCCTCCTCCTCCTCGTCCTCCTCCTCCTCCTCCTCCTCGTCCTCCTCCTCCTCTTCCTCCTCCTCCTCCTCCTCCTCCTCCTGGTAGTCCTCCCCCTCCCCTCCTCCTCCTCCTCCTCTTCCTGGTCGTCCTCGTTCTCGTCCTCCTCGTCTTGCTCGTCCTCCTCCTCCTGGTGTTCTCTCCTCCTCCTCCTCCTCCTCCTCCTCCTCCTCCTCCTCCTCCTCCTCCTCCTGGTGGTCCTCGTTCTCCTCCTCCTGGTACTCTCCCCCCCCCTCCTCCTCCTCCTCCTCGTCCTCGTCCTCCTCCTCCTCCTCCTCCTCTTCCTCCTCCTCCTCCTCCTCCTCCTCCTCCTCCTCCTCGGTACTCCTCCCCCTCCCCTCCTCCTCCTCCTCCCTCCCCCTCCCCTCCTCCTCTGGTCCTCCTCCTCCTCTTCCTGGTCGTCCTCCCTCCTCCGCTCTCCTCCTCCTCCTCCTCTCCTGCTCGTCCTTCTTCTCCTGCTCCTCCTGCTCCTCGTCCTGCTCCTGCTCGTCCTCGTCCTCCTGGTCTTGCTCGTCCTCCTCCTCGTCGTGCTCTTGCCCCTGCTGAAAATGTGGCCCAGGAATGGGAGTTCTGGGAAGTCGAAGAGCACGAAGTTGCCTACAGTTGGCTACGGGCATTCAAAATGTGGCCCGGGAATGGAGTTCTGGGAACTCGAAGAGCACGAAGTGGCCTACAGTTGGCTCCGGGCATTCAAAATGTGGCCCGGGAATGGAGTTCTGGGAACTCGAAGAGCACGAAGTGGCCTACAGTTGGCTCCGGGCATTCAAAATGTGGCCCGGGAATGGAGTTCTGGGAACTCGAAGACGAAGTGTGTATGTTGCATCCGGGCATCCAAAATGTGGCCCGGGAATGGAGTTCTGGGAACTCGAAGAGCACGAAGTGTGTGACTGTTGCATCCGGTTATTCTAATGTGGCCCGGGAATGGCGTTCTGGGATCTCGAAGAGCACGAAGTGTGTGACTGTTGCATCCGGTTATTCAGAATGAGCCTGGGAATGGAGTTCTGGGAACTCGAAGAGCACGAAGTGTGTGACTGTTGGTGAAAAACGAGGTGGACTCAACCCGCCCGGCAACTCCCAACACCTGCCCGGACCCCCCTGTGGAGTGATCTGTGAGCTTTTTTTAGCCCACTAGAAACCTATCAGTCTTCGCTGTTAGGTAATATGGTGAATATTTTTATTTGTGTGTACTTATTTGTGTGTCCTGGGGCCCCTTCACCCGAGGCAGGCCAGGAGGCTCCCGAGACGGCCCCCGGAGGGCCGCCAGGAGAGCCCCAAGAGGCCGACATCCGGAGTTGCCTGAAGCGCCTGTCTGCAGAGGCGTTCGGCATGTTGTCGAGAACCTGGGTGCGGGAGTCCTTGGGCCTCCCTTTGGCCTCCCGTGGTCTCCTGTGGTTTCTTGCTGCAGCTTGCTGATTTTGTTCCGCCCTGGCATTGTATGCCGTGGTCACTCTCGGTGGCTCCGTCGGTGCCCCTCTCCCTGGCCCGCGTGTGAGGTTGTCTGGGGTCTTTTGCCGCACGGGCATGCTCGCCGTTCTCGCCGTTTCGGGCTCCCGACGCTGCAGGCCAGCCCAGGAGGCCCTCCCTTACGATCGCCCCGAGACGGCCCACCAGGCCCTCAGGAGGGCCCCAAAGACTGCCCAAAGGGCCCTGAAGACTGCCCATCACAGCCCGAAGAGGGGCCCAGCCAAGACGACCCCCAACCAAGACGACCCTACGCCCCAACCAGGACGGCCCAACCAAGACGACCCAACCAAGACGGCCCAACCAAGACGGCCCAACCAAGACGGCCCAACCAAGACGACCCCCAACCAAGACGGCCCTACGCCCCAACCAAGACGGCCCAACCAAGACGACCCAACCAAGACGACCCACCCGACGTGTCGCACCCTACGCCCCAACCACGACGACCCCCGAGGCCGCCGGCGGGGCCCCGAGAGGACCCCCCGAGGCCCCAGAAGGCGCCCGGCATGCCCAAGTCGGGCGCCAGACATCGGGCCCCAGGAGAGCCCCATCGGCGCCCCGGGTGGAGACCAGATGTTCGACCACGCGCGCGCCGAGGCCATCGAGGCATTCGTGTCCCTGCCTCGTATCGTGCCCCCCTTCTCGTTCCCTTGCCTCTCGCTCCACGCGCCTCGCTCCTCGCCGCCCTCTCCTCGCTCCTCGCCTCTCTCTCTCGCTCTCTCTCTCTCTCTCTCTCCTCGCTCTCTCTTTCTCTCTCTCTCTCTCTCTCTCCCTCCTCGCTCCTGGCTCCTCTCTTCTCAGTCCTCCTCGCTCCTCCCACCTCTCCTGGCACCATCGCTTCTCCCTCCTGGCTGCTGGCGCTTGCCCCCCCCTCTTCGGCTCTACCTCATCCCTCCTCTCCTCTCTCTTTCCTCGGCCGTCGCTCCTCATTTCTCGATCCTTGCTCCTCGCTGATCGCTTCTCGCTTTCCCCACCTTCCCCTCGACCCTGACACCTCGCTCCTTACGCCTCATTCCTCGGTCCACGCACGAGCTGCAGGTTGCGTCAGCTAGCACGGGAACCAAGAAGCAGCACTCTGCAGCCACAAGCGGCAACATGCGAACAGCAGCAGCAGTCCGCAACAAGCAGCGACAGCACACAGCAAAGGCAAGCAGCAGCAGCAGCATGGGCGAGCTGGAGCAAAACGTCTGCCTGCAGCAGCACACTGCAGCTGCAGGCAGCAACAGCAGAGGCGAAGTCCGGCCCAACGTCAGCACTGACGCATCACTGCCCTGGCCCGATGTGCCATCTCGGGCAGAATCTTCGTGGCCGGCAGGCCACCAGCACGAGACGGCTGCAACGCTGGGGCCAGCCAGTGCGAGCAGGGCGCACGCTGGCCGCCTGTTGTGGCGGCGCTGCCGAGCGAGATGTGGGAGGCGAAGCCGGATGCCGACATCATCTCTCTGGCGTCATGTCGCCTCCGAGGCGGGAATGAATACACGACCACCGCCTGGAGGGTCGGTTTTCGGAGCCTCGGCAGGCAGTGGATGTGGACATCTTCGGGCCCCAGGGGGGGCTGAGATGATTATATCCAAATCCGCCGCCCGCTGGGGCACCAGGATGTCGGTTCCCAGGCGGCGGACATGGATAAATCCCCGCCTCGCATCTCTGGGACGGCGAGCAGCCACAGCGGGCTCCGGAGGTGCTCGGCCGCGGAGGCGGAGGCGGAACAGCTGAAGGAGCGTGCGTCCCGGCTGCTGGCCAGGCTCTCCGAGGAGCAGCAGCGGCGCGAGGCGGCGAGAGGCGACGCATCCGCCGCGAGTGTCCCGCTGCCCTGGACATCCGCGCCCACGTGGCATGTGGCAGGGCGTGCCGTCGCGTCCCCGCGACCCTTAAGACCCGTGCCCAGATGGCACGCGGCGGGGCGCGCTGGACTTCCCCGCCTCCTCTTGTCTTCCTCCCTTCCTTGCCTTCCCCCTCCGCCCCCTCCTGCTGCCCCCCTCCACTATGCCTCTGGATTGGTTGCGCTGCTCGTCGCCATCGAGCTTCTCCAGACAAGATGCCAGCCCGAGGCAGGAGCAACAGGGGAGTGGGCATATCGCGCTGGCCCACCCCCAGTCAGCATCCGGACATCTCCCTGTGCCACCCTCCCCGTTCTCTCGTACCTATCCCCCTTTGTCTCTCCTCGAAGCAGGCACGTGTGAGAAGGCGATAAGTGGCAGCGGAAGCTGCGGGTGACGGGAGAAGCAAGGCAAAACATATTTCGACAGGCGTCCGGCGACCACCTTGCATCTCCTGCTTGCGGCAAGCTGCCAGGTTCGCTGAGTCGCTGGCGGATTGGCGGAGGACCCCCAGACTCCGAAGCCGGGCGGCTCCAGCACCGCAGCCCGTGTGTCATGCAGGTCGCCAGCGCCAGCCCCCCAAACATGTGCGGAGTCTCGGACGCTTTTTCCCTTCTGCTGGGGAAAGCCCGCGGCGGCTGCAACCACTGGCGGAATGCGCCCAAAAAAAAGAAGGAGGATAAGGATGAGTAGCAGAGGAGGAGGAGGAGGAGGAGGAGGAGGAAGAGGAGGAGGCGGAGGAGGATGACGAGAAGGAGAGAGGAAAAGGAAGAGTGGAGGAGGAGGAAGAGGAAGAGGAGGAGGAGGCAGAGGAGGAAGCGGAGGAGGAGGAGGGGGAGGGGGAGGGGGAGGAGGAGAAGAAATGTTCAGGAGGTTATGGAGGAGGAGGAGGAGGAGGAGGAGGAGGAGGAGGAGGTGGAGGTGGAGGTGGAGGAGGTGGAGGAGAAGGAGGGGTAAACCCCTCCCCGAAGGGGAAGAAGGGGGGGTTGGAAGAAGAAACGTTCTAGACCACCTCCGCCCAGAGGGCTGGTGGCATTTTGAAAGGACCTACGACAAGGGCATGTGGAGAGATGGCTTCTCGCAATAGCGTTGAGTCCGTCGCCCGTGGTTTACACGGGTCGTTTTCCTCCTCCTCCGCCTCCTCCGCCTCCTCTTCATCGTGCTCCTCCTCATCATCCCATCATCTTGCGTCTCCTCGTCTTCCTGTTCCTCCTCCTCCACTGCTCCTCCTCATCCAGCCGGTCTCGCAGCCGTTCTGGCTCTGGCCCGCTCCCCCGCCCCCTGCGCGAGAGGCCGCCCGCGCCTGATCCCCCCCCCGCTCCGCGCCCCCCGCCCCGCCTCGGCTGGCGCTGCTGCGAGGCTCCTGGGGGAATGGCCTCCCCCCTCTTCCCTCCTGCCCTGCCTCCTCCGTCCTTCTCCCTCCTCCCCTCCTCTCTCCCTCCTCTTCTCATCCCTCCTCCCCCTCTCCTCCCGTTCCGTTCCGTTCCGTTCCTCCCTCCTCCCCTCCATTCTCCCTTCTCCTCCCTTGCCCCCATCCTCCCCTCCCTTCCCCCCCGTCGAGGGGCATACGGGGGAGAGGGGAGGAGTCGGAGGAGGGAGGGGGTGAGAGCGGGGGAACGGGGGCGGGGAAGGAGGGGGGGTGTAAGCGAGGAGGAGGGAAGGGAGAGGGTGGGAGACGGGGCAGAGGCGCCGAGGAAGGGCAGAGTGGCGGATAGGGACAGATGCAAGCTATGTTCGCTCGCACTATATCTGGCATCCTACCCATCCGAGCCATTCCGACGGGTGTCCTCGCGGACCAGGATCCCCAGCATGACCCCATGGCTGTCATGCGCAATCAGGAAGGGGAGCTGTGTACATTGGAGGAGGAGGAGGAGGAGGAGGAGGAGGAGGAGGAGGAGGAGGAGGAGGAGGAGGAGGAGGAGGCGGAGGAGGTGGATGAGGATGAGGAGGAGGAGAGGGAGGAGGAGGGAAAAGGGGGGAGGAGGAGGAGGTGGGGACGAGGAGGAGGAGGAGGAGAGGAGGAGGAGGAGGGGGGAGAGGAGGAGGAGGAGGAGTGGATGAGGAGGAGGAGGAGGAGGAGGAGGAGGAGGAGGAGGAGAGGGAGGAGGAGGAGGAGGAGGGGCGGGAGGAGGAGGAGGAGGAGGAGGAGGAATTACCAGGAAGAAGAGGAGGATGGAAGAGTAGGGGCAGCAGCGGCAGCAGCGCCAGGACCAGGAGCAGGAGGAGCGGGAGGAGCTGAAGGACCAGGGGAAGGCGGAAGAGGGGAGAGGAGGGGGGCGACCACGACGAGGTAGGAATCAGATCCAGAATTGTGGCCCGCGCGTGAGCGAGAGCGCCAGTCTGCACGATGGGAGCAGAGCGCCGATCCTTGACTTAGGCCAACGCTGCGGCGGGAACTTCTTTTTGAACCACGTAAAGACAACGTTCCGATCCAGACAAATACCTATAACATGACATGCGTTCAGATCCTGTGTGTGTGTGTGAAAACGGTACGGAAGAGAGGCGGGCCCCCAAAAACACGGATTCGGGGCAGAAGGGGGGCGGCATTTCTGTTCCCTGAGCGGTGCTTCCACACGCGGTCTCTGATGTGTGTGTTGATCGGCAGCTCGGGTATGCCCAGGTTTCGCTCGGTGGGCGCCTGCTGGCGCCTCGTAGGCGCGCGGTGCTTCCACACGCGGTCTCTGATGTGTGTTGATCGGCAGCTCGGGTATGCCCAGGTCTCGCTCGGTGGGCGCCTGCTGGCGCCTCGTAGGCGCCCCGTGTGCTGGCTGGGTGCGCCGGGGTTTCGCCTGGGGGGCGGCCGTGGGCGCCCGATGGGCGCCCCGCGCTGCTTGCAGCACAGCGCTTGCACCGCACAGCCTGCACACGCTCGCCCACGGCCCGCAGCGTGCGCCGCGTAGGCCGCACCGCGCAGCCTGCACCACGCTGCCTGCAACAGACAGCCTGCGCCGCACACAGGTTGCACCACACAGCCTGCACCACACTGCTTACGGTAGGTTCGTGTCGTGTCGACCGGCGGCGACCCCGCCAGCGGCGTTCAACCTTGAACGCCGCGGGCGACCCAGAATCGTTCGATGTGGAACGATTTGGACGTTTCGGAAACGGCCGATCGTTCAAGGTTGAACGATCCCCGCGGTGTCAGAAACCAACGCCGGGGTCGACACGACGCGAACCTGCCGTACACCACACCGCCCGCACCACGCAGCGCACATCACGCAGCCTGCACACCCAGATGGCAAGAGCTCACTGCCCGAGGCTCGCGCCGGCCAGCACGGAGCAGCCGCGGAGCGCCCGGCGACGACGATCAGAGGCGACGATAGGGGCGAATAGCCCAGGGGAGAGCAATGCCATGTATGCAGGTGCGCCGATGAGCTATGTCTTCGAAAAGGCTCCGGGGCGAAGGCGTGTGATGCCCGCCCCTGGGCTGTTCGCCCCTATCGTCGCCGCCGAGGGGAGGAGAGCAGGACGCGAGGTCCCGGGGTGCGGGAGGGCGCACGGCCGCGGAGGCAGATGGACGCGCTGAGGGCCCTGCCCACGCCCGCGCTGGCGGGCCTCGCCGTCGTGCTCGGGCTGCTGTGCGTGTGGTCGGTGCTGCGCGGGCGCGGGCGCCCGCCGCCGGGCAGGCTGAGGCCGCACGGCAGCTTCGAGGACGAGGACCTTGGCCCGGCACGCTTGCAGCGGAGGGGAGGGGGAGGGGGGGAGGAGGAGGTGGCGGGGGAGACGAAGGAGGAGGAGGAGGAGGAGGAGGAGGAGGAGGAGGAGGAGGTGGAGGAGGAGGAGAGGAGGAGGAGGAGGAGGAGGAGGAGGAGGAGGAGGGGGAAGGGGGAGGGGGGGGGGGGGAGGAGGTGGCGGGGGAGGCGAAGGGCCAGTGGGGGGGGGGGGGAGAGGGACGAGGAGGAGGGGGGAGCAGGAGGACAGCACGTATTCACAAGGATTAGAAGGAGAGTTTCTGTTGTGAGCCGTGCGTCTCCGACAACAGGACCCTGCCAGCACCGACGCGATGGCGGAGCGGCGGCGGGACTTCTCTCGCATCTCAGGGCAGCCGAAACCACAAGAGGCGGAGGAGGAAGAGGAGGGAAGGAGGGACGGAGAAAGGAAGGGAGGGAGGGAATGAGTTAGGAAGGGAGGGAGAGGGAGGCGGAGGAGGAGCAGGAGGAGAAGCAGGAGGAGAAGCAGGAGGAGGAGGAGGAGGAGAAGGATGAGGCATAGCAGTGCCACCATGAGACTGAGCAGGAGGAAGATGGGGGAGGAGGGAGGAGGGGCGGCTATGAGGAGCAGGCAGAGGATGAGGATGGGGATGAAGGAAGAGGGATGCTATGACGATGATGATGATGATGATGATGATGATGATGATGATGATGATGATGATGATGTTGATGTTGATGATGATGATGATGATGATGATGATGATGATGATGACGGTGGTGGTGATGATGATGGTGATGGTGATGATGCTGATGATGAAGATGATGATAATAATGATGGCGATGATGATGAGGAGGATGGTGATGGTGATGATGATGAATATGATGATGGAGATGCTGATGAGGATGGTGATTGTGATGGTGATGATGCTGATGATAACAATGCTGATGATGGTGATGATGATGATGATGCTGCTGATGGTGATGATGATGGTGATGCTGAAAATGATGGTGATGATGATGATGAAGATGATGATGATGATGATGATGATGATGATGATGATGATGATGAGGATGATGATGATGCGGATGGGGATGTGGATACGGATCATGATGCTGATCATGATGAGGAGGATGACGATGGGGATGAGGCTGAGGATGAGGATGGTGATGATGATGAAGATGCGGATGTGGATGGGGATGATGTGGTGGCGATGATGATACTGATGATACGAACGCGGATGCTGATGCTGCTTATGAGGATGATGATGATGCTGATGGTAGTGGTGGTGGTGGTGGTAATGACGATAATGGTGATGGTGGTGATGGTGGTGGTGGTGATGATAATGATATTGGTGATGATGATGATGATGATGATGACGATGATGATGATGATGATGATGATGATGATGATGGTGATGATGATGATGATGATGATGATGATGATGATGATGATGATGGTAACGAGGAGGAGGAGGAGGATGTTGCTGATAATGATGGTGATGGTGATGGTGGTGATGATGTTAACTAAGAGTCTGATGATGCTGATGCTGATTATGCTGATGATGCTGATGATGCTGATGATGTTGATGATGATGATGCTGATGATGATGCTGATGAACATGATGATGATGATGAGTATGATGATGACGATGAAACATGATGATGATGTTGATGATGATGGTGATGATGATGCTGATGATGATGATGACGATGATG